GGCCGCGGCTGGAGTCTTGGCTGCCGCCTCCAGGGCGCTCTTGCTGCCCCGCGCGACCCCAGGATTGCGAACTCTTGCCCCTGACCTGTTGGGCGGGGCTCCGCGCTCCAGCCATCAGCCCGGATGGGTCTCCTGGCTGGGACTTGGGGCACCTGGAGTTAATGTCCAACCTGGGGTCTGCGGAGACCCGATCCGAGGTAAGTGAGGGAGCGGGCCGGGGAGGAGGGAGCGGGTGGTGCCTGCGTAGCGGGCGGGTGCGGCTGGCTGAAGGGTGCCCTAGTCAGAGGGGTGCGTCTGAGAGTAGAAAGTGGAAAGACTAGAGGGAGGCTAAGCTATGCGAGAAGAGAGAAAAGTAGAACCGGAGAGAGGCCGGCCTTTCGGAGGAGCATGTTGCCCTTTCCACGTGGGCAAAGATCGCTGGAGCCCCAGATGCCCCTGGACCCCGAATGCCCAAGAGAGGCAGTTTCCTTCCCGGACTCGGCGAGGCGCTCTTCCGTCAGGTCACAGAACGATTCAGGGCTTGGGTCATCTTCGAACCCACCGCCGTCGAAAGTATCCTCTCTGGACGAGCAGAGATACTGTCATTGCCAAGGGTGCAACTTACTATTGAGCTTGTTTTGATCTGTTCCAAGGCAAAGCGCAGGCCCGGGGAGGGGCTGCTGCAAAGGTGTTGAGAACCTAAAAATGGAGGGCTCACCTCCTCCGGGCGAGGTCTGGCAAAGCTACATTCCTCACCCGGCTGCCTGCACGTTCCTAACGCCCTCCACCCCAACTAACCATCCCCGTCGAGGTTAGGAGAGGGGCTTTCTTGGCAGTACTGGAGTCAAATCTCAGTCTCGAACATATTCTTGAGACTCCACTAGGCCGCTGAGGTTATTATTTTAATGGCTCCTTTTTCTCCTGTACTCTGTGTCGCCTTCCAATAACACCCCACCACCACTGCCACTACTTTACACCATCTCGAGGCTAATTCCGCGCTGGTGGTTTGTTTCCTGCCCCAACCAAGAAAAACCAACCCTCTTCGGGCTGGAAATGGACTTTCGCGGGTTCCCGCCAGCCTCCTGGCTCCCAGCTAGTTTCGGCTTTGGTAGAATCAGCCGCCAGGACTGATGTGCGCGCCTCCGGAGGCTTACCCATCCGTGAGCTCGCAACACTTTTGCTCATAGGCGGGGACAAAGGCAACTCTTCCGGCCCCTGCTGCGATGTTAGAACGCGCTCGACTCTTGCTCAGTATTTGGAATATATGCTTAGGTATTTCAAGGAAGAGATGTTTCTTCCAACCTCTCTCACGCACCCGGTCCCGCAAAGCCGTCAAAGTCGGCCTGGACCAAACTCTTACTGTTTCGCTGCGCCTTCGCTTTGGCAGGGAAGGTGGCGCCTTTTCAACAAGCAACAAGTGTCCGATCTCTGGGAAGTCCGCCGTGTCCCTAGCCCTCTCCTGCTAGCAATTCGGGTGCTCTCGGACCTGGAACTGGCATTTTAAACAGTCAGACCCCCTTCCCAGTTGGCCTGCGAGAAGTGTCCCAAATTCTTTTTCCCTCCCTCATCTTGGGCCCCGCAGTTATGGGGGATTAAGGGGAGACTAAGTCCTCTGTCAGTCAAGGACGCGAAGCATAGTTAAGAAAAGCAATAGATCTTCCAGCAATTTCTGTCTCTACCTCCCCACGCCAGAAAAAAAAAAAAAAAAAAAAAAAAAACTCGAGTTTATAGCAAACCCGTCTCCCCGCCCCACCGCCTCCTCTTTCTCTCTCTGAGACCTGGATCTTGAAGGCAAAGCCCAAACAAACCTCCCAGCCTGCCAGGCACAAGAAGGTGCGGGGGCACTGACGGCGGGAGCGCTGCCTCCTGCGAAGCTGTCACGGTGACGCGGGGAAGGGGTGGGGGATGGTCTAAAAGCAGGTTGCCAAGAAACCCGCTCAGGTGAAGTGGGGAGGGGAAAACCAGCGAGAATCGAGGGGTGGGAGCCTGAAAAGCAGAGATGCCGGTAAGGACCTTCACAGGTCCCCGGGCTAATAGGATTTCGGGAGGCTTGTAGAGGGAGTGATGGTTCTCCGGTTTTATAACTAAAATGATAACACAGCCTCCGGGCCGCGTGGGCGTGACACGGCTCAGACGGTTTCTGGTGCCCCCTGCTGCGGGGAACTCAGAAATGCCTCGCAGCGAGCGGCTGCTTCTGGGAGCACTTCTGTGGCTTTCCTGGGCGTCCTTGCCTCCCCAGGCCCGGGGACCCACCAGGTGCCGGCGCCCGCAGCCTGCTGCTTTTGCCCTGCCGGAGCGTGGTGGTCCCGGACCCAGAAGGGGACCAGCCTGCCAGGCACGAGAAACGGTGCGGGGTTACCTGGCAGAGCAGAGCCCCCATCACTTTCAGGAGCAGAGCTTGGTTCTCGCACGTGGCGGCGCGTGAAGCAGTTCGCACCGCGGGCAAAGGCCCATGGTTGAGGAGAAACGCGTCGGGCAGATGTAGATGTGTTCTGGGAAAGCGATAGAGAGACAAACTGAGAAGCCGAGGGGTGGAGTCCACACAGACTCTGAGAAACACGTCCTAGTAGACGCTGTGTGCCGAGTCCCCAGAACCTCCCCCGTTTTCCCCCGCCCAGCAAATACCGGGAACTAAAGAGCCGCTCGGACTGGAGCCGGTCCCGGCGGCGCTCAGAGGGAAGAATGCGCCCTCCCTGTCCGGGGGGGAAGAGGGGGAGCTCGATCGGGGCGCTGGCGGCGCTCGGCCGAGGGCGGGAACCGCAGCCGGGAGCCTCCTCTGGCTAGGCGGGGAGTTTTCCACTGTGTAGTCTTTTGCCAACTTCGCCACACTTCTAATTGAGGATCTCCACGTCCAATTTTAAAAGCCCTCCGTCGGCCAGGCAGGAAAAAAGGGAAAACCCTCTTAAGACGGAAGGGAAATCTGGTGCCTCTGTGGCTTCCTGCTGGCGGGCACCGCGATTTGGAATGGCGCATTAACCCCGCGCCTCCATGCTCCTGCGGTCTGACCGCCAGCCATTTCGCACGCACCCGGGAGCTGGCACCGGCGAGGGGATGGGGGCGGGGGGGCGGCTCGCGTTCCTCAGGTCCTAGCTGCCAAAGTACCTTTCTGGGCTCATTTTGCACGGCCTGGTGCAGTTTTCCTGTGTCTGCGCGTCGCGACCCGGAACCTAGTTTTTCCGGAGTTTGCAAACCAGCCCACGAGGCAAGAGGCGCTGGGTGCTGCAGGTCACTAGGAGTTTCTAGTCCCTACACCCTCTCGAGCCCAACAGCTGTATAGCGAACAAACAGACGCTCAGGGGATGAAAAATCCATTCGTCTCTGCAGAGGTGGGAGGTGGCGGCCGAATTAAAGGCTTCCCCGGGTTGCCTACACCGGGACAGGGGCTGGGGTTCCGGGTAGAGATGAGGACTGGAACCCTGAAATGGAGACGGGGGTGCCTGTGAACTAATGGCTGGGAAAGGCACAGAGGTTTTTGCATTTACCTGGTTTCTACATTTCCCTCCCGCATGGGAAAAAAATAAAAATCGAGTTTTTCCTAAGAATCCGTTTTATGGAGCGGGTCGAGGGGAAAGGATAATCGACTGCATGAATTTCGCAGATTCCACTTGAGGAGATCCTCTCTACGTCACTAGTCCCCTGGAGATTGGAACCCTGGGATTAGGAAAGCACTGGATAACACTGCGCCCCAAGATGCCTCGGTTCTTTCCCGTCTCATTGGTTGGAACTCTCCCCCGAATTTACAGCCCCCTTTTCTCACCCACCCTCAGCTGCATGGCCCTCCTTTGTAGGGGTGTGAGGATTGAGAAGCCAAACAGAGCCCACCTCGGACTGAAAAGAGCTGAATCCCCTACTCTGCGCCATACCACTGTCTAGGCCTTCCAATACCAGAGCACCTCCAAAGCGTCGGAGACTGGGTACAGTCGTCCAGGCGTGATGGGGGCGCGGGGAACCAGCGACCCCTCTGGGAGGGGAAGGGATTACGGGCAGAATCTCATCTCTCAAAGGTGCAAAAATCCAATCAAGAAAGGGTTTTCGGGTATACTACGGAGGATTAAAACTTTCAAGACAAATGCAGTCTTTGCCTAACAGCAATGGTAAAACATTTATTGAGCTCTTACTACATGTTCCGCTAGCGCTTTTCATGCGTGATTTAATGTTCATAACCTTAAGAGGTGGGACGAGTATTTTTAAATCGAATCAGTGCTTCGGGAAGTTAAGTAACTTAACCCAGATATCCCATATTGGCCAAAAGTCTCCAAGTCCCCGCTAACTTCTTGCTCTGGCAACAGAATACCTATTTAGATGGGGAAAATGAGGCGTGGGCGGCAGGCCGGGTGAGTGGTACCCCCGAGCCTATCCTCCAGTAGCCAGAAGCCCGGTCGGGACCCGAGGCAGGGGAGTGCGCTTGATTTTATTCCCAAAGAGAAAGACTGGTCACTGCTTGGGCAGAGGACTGGTTCCGGGGCCTATAGGAGCTACCGGGACAAGAAGGGGAGGTCTCTGGTTGGAGTGGAGGACGCAGGGTGGGAACTACCTGATTGCCCCCAGGAATGGGGGATTTTGCGCACCAGTAGAGGGCACCGGACAGGAATCGTGGTGGGGGGTTAACTGGAGGGACAGCAGCCCTGCTTGGAACTCTGGGTGACCCCTAAGACCGGGTGGTGAAGAAGGGCAACTGCAACCTGAACCAGGAGTGCGAGCTGCTCCTGGGGCGCAATGAGGAGGGAGAAGCGAACTGGGGACTTGCAAGGAGGGCAGGAGTGCCCGGGAAGCCGCTGGCCTGCAGCGGTGCCGGAGGAGGGCGGTGATGAGGTTGGAGAGGGGCGCAGGGACCCGCGGGGAGCCCAGGCTTAACGTGCTATTCTGCGGTTCTCTCCCCCACCTCCCGCCTGCCCGCGCAGGTGCCGCCGCCGGACGGGACTTTAAGATGAAGTTATGGGATGTCGTGGCTGTCTGCCTGGTGCTGCTCCACACCGCGTCCGCCTTCCCGCTGCCCGCCGGTAAGAGGCCTCCCGAGGCGCCCGCCGAAGACCGCTCCCTCGGCCGCCGCCGCGCGCCCTTCGCGCTGAGCAGTGACTGTAAGAACCGTTCCCTCCCCGCGGGGGGGGGGGCCGCCGGCGGACCCCCTCGCACCCCCACCCGCTGGCACGTACCCCAAGCCAGCCCGATGACTGTGTGGCCTACCGACCCGTGGGCAAGGGGTGCGGGTGCTGAAGCCCCCAGGGGTGCCTGGCTGCCCAGTGTTTCCCACACGCCTTGCCTGAAAGTGACACGCGCTGGTTTGCCCAGCACAGAGGGGATGGAATTTTTATGCTGCTCCTTTAACGTTCTGATGAGCAAATATGCTCCCCACCAGCACCACCACCTCAGAAACGACACACACAGCTGTCCCCTTTTCTGTTTCCTCATCTATACACACTCCCAGTTTTTCTTTTATTCTAAAGCCCTTTATCTGTGTGACTGTGCCTGGCTGTGCTTAATTCTGAAAACTATTGCACTTTCATCCTAAACCGCGCCTGCAAGGCGAGAGGCCGACTTTTCACAAAAGCAAGCCAGAGGCAGAGAAAACACAGAAGGGCCTCCGTTTCCAGAACAAGCGTCTGGGTAATGTCAAATCTGTTCAGAAGAGTTCCTCTGTTCTGTAAAGTTCCGGTTCTAGAAAGACTTAACCATAAATAGTGCTGGCTGGGACTAGGGACAAAGACTGTAGCTCCCTCCACGTGTGACAATGCTAACTCTTGAGAAAAAAAACCCAGGTTATTCTTATTAGAAAATAAGTCTGTGATTTACCTCTCAAAAGTTAACATGTTTTAGAAGCAAGTCAATTAGAGCGTATCGGCTGTGATGTGATCTCCTTTTCCCTCCCTCCTCAGAAGCTTGTTGCATGAAGTGAGAGATGCTACATTACACGTGATAGAGGCTATTGCAGAGGCATAATGTCAACAAAGGTAGCAATAGAAAATTTCACACAACCCCAAAATAAAGCAGGAATGAGCTGTATGTAACTAGGATACCACCCTGGCTACTCTTCCCTCCCTAACCCCACCCCCAGAATTATCCCTCTAGTTACTTCGCGCTTGAAACTTACTATGGTCATAACCACAGTAGTAGTCCCGCAATAGTCAGCTGTGCGCTGAGTCCGCCAAAGCCAGTGGCCTTGGCTAGGAAACAACCCAGTAAATGCAATATGTTTATTTTATGCTTAATTATAGCAACAAAAGCACCTCTTCCATAAGTCCCAAGAAAGACAGAAAGTGGATTTTTTTTAAAGGCAAATTAAGACTTCAAAAGTAAGTTAGGGAGCATGGTTAATCCTTTGAAACTAAAGTACCTGTTCCAAGAGTGTCTATCAATTAGCTGTATAAACCTACTTTAGAGGCTTTTATTTCCATCACAAATTTAGTGTATATAAATGTTCCTCCAACAGAAACTTAAAAATGCCCCTTAGTGCCAGGTCTTCCAAAACTGGCTATTCATTCACTGAAACGGTCTAGACGAGAGGGACAGGGACATAATGGCAGATAATAGTTCTCTAACCCAGACATTGCCAAGAGAAAAACGACTGTGCCTGATTACAAAGCTGATTAATTCATGGAGGTTTAATTGCCTTATTAGTGCCCTGTTTAACTAGGTTCATTTAATTCTGGCTCGGGCTCCTGGCTCTGCTTTCAACTAACTCTGTGACTTTCAGGCAAGTTACTTTACAGCTCAATGAATAGTCTGTAACTATACCATAAAGAGAGGCCTTTCTACTCCACAATGCCAGTGGCTATAAGATCTGCCCCTTGGCCTTTATGCTTGTCCTAAAGTCCTTTGGGAAGTCTCCTAAGAAGAGATTGGAGTCACCTAGGGAACTTTAAAGAATACTGATGCTAGGTCTCACCCCAGGAGATTCTGATTTACTTGGTTTGGGGTGCGGCCCAGGCACCTGAGTTTTTAGGTGTTCCCCAGATGAGTCTAACATGCAAGCAGACTTGAGCCACTACAGCTTGATAATACCCAAGAAAATCTTTGGCTCATATAAGGTACAAATAGTCACAAAGCAAGTGAGTTAGCACAGATTGCGGGGGCGAGGGCATGTTGTGGGGAAGAAGGATTGCTTCCCTTTTCCAAAATTGATACTATGCCATCAGTGAACAAGATTCTCACTACTCTATTTATATTTGAACAGCAGAACACACCCCATTGTGTTTTGTCTATGACAAGACCTAGTCGATCCTAGAGGAAACCTGAAAAAGAAACATTCCCAAAGAGAAACTGAGCTGCATTCTAAGCCAAATTGACTTCTTTCCAGGTATGTTTGATTCAGTAGCAAGCTGTCAGTGCAGGGAAGGCAAAATAATGACAGTATGCAGACTTTGAACACTGAACCAGTGTCAACACGCCCCTGTCACAGTGCTGACATTTATATCCTGCACTGTACATGGTGCAACTGGTTAAGGCTTATGTAGAAAAACATTAAGTCACCACATTTCATTTAAAAATAGAAAGTATCATAAATTCTGATTCCTCTAGTTCCATCCAAATACTTGTAACTTAATGATTGAGCAAAAGAGCTTTCATGCCACATTAACAGTCATCCTGTGCTTTTCACAGGAGGACCAGGATATATAGTTTGCACACTCACCTTTGAGATTGCATGTGTTCTGCTGGTTCCAATGTAAATAAAACATCCAGAATTCTATTCCTAGTATGACCTCAGTGTGAGAAAACCAAATAGAATTCATAATTGGCCAATGGGCTTGCCTAGAGGCTGGTTGTAAAGTAAATGGCCCAGGACTGCTTCCTGTAGCAACTTCTAGCCTGTCTAAACTCAAGGACTTGTGATTTGACTTTTGGGCTACCCAAGACTTTTCTCTTTGGCTGTCTTTGTTCGTTTATTTTGCTTTTTGCCAGTATTTTGCTTTTTGCCAGTTTCCAAAGGGCAATTAGAGCAGGCATGAGGAATCTGCAAGTTGAAACTTGCAAATGTCATAGCATTTTCAAGCTGAAAGGAAACCCCTCTAGTCCTGAAACCTAAAGAGGCAAAGCAACTCGTATATGATGTGCCACAGTTCCATGATCACAGGAGGCAGGTCTGAAGCTGGGAACAGTGTTTCCCCCAAACTACTGAAATGCACTTTATATGGGAAGGGGAGGATACTTTGTATAGGAGGAAGGTCTTGAACTAATGACTTAGACCATGGTGCACAAGGTTGTTTGAATTTATTGAAGGTTAGTTCATCATAGTCATATTCCCTATCTTAACTCTAAATGTATTTAATAAGTAAAAGCATAAAATGCATGTGGTTTTAAAAATTTGCATCTAAATGCACATATACATTCACCAAATAGTTACATGTGTGCCTGTCTATGCCAGGCACTGTCCTAAGTGCTAGGGATACCTTGATACACCTAATAAACAAAAGTCACTGCCCTCATGGAACATACCTTCTAGTAAATGTCCATGTGTGGTGGTTTGAAAAAATTAACATGAAAGAACCTCAGTCCAGTAAGGTGGGCTGAATTTTTTGTGCAACTGGAGACCAACTAAAATGACATTGAGCATTGTTAAGTTGTAATCACAAGTAATTCCCAATTTAGTATAATATAATGGGATTATATTCTACCAGTTTGAGAGCAGTTCACAAAATTTCCTATGGGAACAATTTTTTAAATTAAGCTATCAAGTTTTCAGGCTAGCCCACAAAAACCTATGTAAACCACAATATAACTGAACTGTCATTCACAATATTACTGACAGTCTCTGCCCTGGGGGCCATATCCTATAATCTGCAAAAGGAGGGCACAGAACAAATCAGGGAGGTTTCAGCAAGCAAGAGCTCAAGGTAACACATTCAGACCAGACTAGGATTTGGACCCCAGCCTTGCCACTTAACTGAGATATTGAGCTGTTACTTAACATCCCTTAAGCTTCGGTTTTCTCCCCTGTAAAACAGGCATAATAGTAAACCAGTCTCATGGGCTGATGTGAGGGTATTGCTTTGTAAAGCCTCTGCTCCATAAATAGGGATCATAGTTGTCATTTGCCACCCTCCTACTTACAATGGCCCCTCCTTGGGCACCCAGTGAATTCCCTTCTTCCGCTGCGACATCTGCCAGGATGCTGCTCTAAATAGTGGGATTTCAGCAGCACAACAGAGTACGGGGAGTGAAAGAAATGCAGGCCTTGTGGGCAGGCTATTTTGGGTCCTATTATTGGTTGGCCAGCACGTAGGCAGGCCAGGCTTGCCTGGGATTCTGCCCCTGGGTCAGCTGCCCCTGACTCTTCCCAGGTTTCACAGCTCTGTTGCTTCCCCAGTTTCTAAGCCCACATATTTCCAGTGGAATTTTTCTCACCAAACTCCCATGGTTGTGTTAGGGAGACCTCTTCCCTCATGGGAAGGAGGGAGGCAAGGTAGGGTAGGATCTTTCTATGTAAGTGATAAGAGGGTTGTGAGTTGGAGGCTACCTGTATAGAGATGGAGCGTATCTTTGTAAATGATCCCAGCTGGATATTTAATTTAAGATGTTTCATACCCTAGCAAAAAAATTTAGTAAACTGTGAGACCACCTCTACAGATCTAAGCAAGCTTCTAGTGCAACAAACTGGGTAAATGTTAAGCTTTCAAACCTAATGTTATGAAATATAAAATTTAGAATAAACAAGCACCATGTATCTATTGTGTCTTATTGCTTAGGTACTGTATGACTGGACAATACTTTAACAAAGTAACTACCTAAGCCGGAAAGGCGCTCTGCCACTTGGGAAGGGTCTCTTGGAATCAAAAAATTGCACATCAGACTCTTGTAGGAGGCACTGATTCTTTACTTGAGATCTGAGACCAACATTCTCATTCTGGTCCCAGTCTGGAAACCTATTTCAAACTGTTGCTGTTTAGAGACATCTATTTAAGGCTTAAATTGATTTCGCCAGTCTTAGGATCTTAGGCTGACCCAGGGCGTAAGCAATGTACTCAGCAGGTTCTTCTTCAACAGATATAAAAATTAAAGCTCCCTGATATTTTCCCCTGCTAACATCTCTTTGTTCTTTGTTTATTTAGCACTCGTGACCCATAGCACCTTCGTTTGATTAAAA